CAAGGAATACTAAGTTCACGAATTCAAATAAAAAGCCGACGTGTCTATGAAAAGAAAGCCCACTGACACTGCTACTGAGAAACCGGAAATTACTTACGGATTTACTTAAGCTCACTGTCCTGCCGGCCTGTGTCATTATTAGACAGCAACTGCGATGCTAAAAGGGAAAAGCGTGGATTAGGAAACTGTGGATTAAAAAACACTAAGCCTGAAAAGTCACAGAAAGGCCTGCATGATGGGGCTCACTAACTAAAAGACCTGAAACTAACACAAAAGATAGTCTACAATTAAAACTTTCCAAATGAAGCAAGTCCTGGTGAGCAGTCATGTTCTAAGGCTGGTGTCTCCCCTGACAAAGGTCAACTGAGCATGTCTGTTGTCTGTTTGATTCTATAATGACAGGCCTTCGGGAAGTCAGAGTAGTTGTGCTTTTTCTGAAGGAGTCCCTGCACCAGGGCAGAGACTGCAAGTCCCCTGACTGTCCTGACTGGGGTGTGAATGTTCAACAGCTGGCTGCTCTGTGCCAACCGATGTGAAAACGTATGTGTTAGTGTGTATCACCTTGATTTCAGTCCTAGAGAATTCCCTGCTTTGCTGTGTCACATCTCCCTACTCTGTCATCAACAAGTGTCATGTACCCCTCATGCCTCCTGCTCTATCTGTAATGTATAAAGTAAGATAGAAAACTGCCATTCTCTGAAGAATTTCCCCAATCTAGGGAGATACACCTTCCAGCAATTTCTATCAGTGCAGCTCAAATAAATTAATCATAATTCTCTGCAAGGTCAAATGATGTTTATGTTGACAGTGAAATTCCAGGCTTCTAAGCAGCCCTTGGTCTTCCTGGTGAACTGCCCCCACCCCTGTGACTCTCCAGAGTCTGGCCAGGAGTTATCTCATCAGGACAAAAGACTCATCCTTATCACTCAGAACATTCCGAGACTTTTAGTCTCTGTGTTCTAAGAGCAAGGAAAGTAGGCCAAATGCCTTTCTAGACTCTCACCTGGGGAATCTGAGTTTTCGTGAGGTGGGACCACCCCCAGTCACACAGCCTGCAAGTGGACTTGGACATGCCAAATGTTTTCTCAGTCTCTGGGCACTGGGTATACACACTGTACTTCTTTCTATGTTTCCTCCTCTATCAGAGGAACTGCAAGGTTAAATGCTAGAATTTTTTAATGCCTCATGTTTAGACTGCAGATGTAAATTAAATTCAGCCTCTGGGGTGCACTTGTGTTTAATTCAGAAGCTGGAAGTGAGATGGAACCATTATTTCTGCTGCTGAGGTGACTGATGGGTGGGCTGTGGCAGACACAGGTTTATGTAGAGAAGCCGGTGTTCCTGTACCTCTGGGTGGGGCTTTGGCCATGTGATTTTGAGACCAGACTCCCAGTGGTAACTCTCTACCTTCCATCTCTCTAGCCCTTCACTGGTTTTATAAGCACTGATCCATTGTGTTGAAGACCTTTCAGCACAAATGTTGTTCATGGCAGGTGCCCTTGTAATAGCTCAAAATCAGAAACAACACAAATGTCCATGGACTGGTGAATGAGAAAACTAATTGTGTGCATCTTTGCAATGGAAGAGAACTTAGGGATAAAAAATAAATGAAAAAATTACTTCAAAATGCTCATGTGGAGTCAGGAAGTCAACCTTCACTGAAAATTACATATTGTATGTCTCAAATTTTGAAAGTTCTAAAAAGTGCTAACTAATTTATAATAACAGAAAGCAGGTGATAGTTTGCTTAATGCTGGGCAAGGGAGTAGGAAAGAGGCAAAATGAAAAGAACATGCAAAGGGGCCTGAGGAGACTTTAACAGTAAGAGAATTGTTTCTAATCTTTGTGGTAACAATTTCTCTGGTGCATCCATCTGGCAAAACCTAGTCAGTTGTATTCTTCCAATATGGTAAGCTTATCATATGTCAACTGTAACTCAGTAGATACATTGAAGAATATATAGTCACCCCTGAATATCATTTAAAATACAAATTCAGTTGAAAAGTACAAAACTCAAAACAATACCTAAGTGCAACATGAGATTTCCTTGCACAATTTTATGCTTGTTTATCAGTCAGTGGCAGGTGTACCCTGCCTTGAGCCTGTGCAGGGGGCTGCAGACCTCACCTCAGCAGCACCCACAGCTCAGCAGAGTTCAGCCTCACCAGCACCTCTCAGTCCATAGACCTTGTCACTCTTCAAGCTCCCCGTATTGAATTCTGTCAGCTTTCCCATCCAGCCAGCTGTCTTCCCACCAGATCTAGCCCTCTGCTGGAAGCTCTCCTTGCCCACCCTCTGTCCTTCAGTGGGCAAATGGCCACTCACACTTCAGGACTCAACCAAGAGGCCAGTTTCTCAGAAGTGCTCTCTGGGATTTCCAGACCAGCTGGACTCAAGTACATGGTCTCCATGCAGGGTCAATGATTTTACAGTGCCCTTCTTTGGTTTATAATTGAATTTCTAATGCTGTGGTTTATCTGAGAATCTGCTGTCTTTCACAAAATAAACTTCATGAGCACATGTGTGATGTGTATGTGTGTGTGTGTGTGTGTGTGTGTGTGTGTGTGTGTGTAGACACACACATCAAATATGTGGAGATCTCAGGCCCACCCCAAGTCCTGACTAACAACACATTAAAAGGATAAGAGAAAGCACCAGTGGAAGCCTGTCACCCTGTGTGATACTGAGGCAAGGGCGAGTTCATTACAGACATTAAGAAAATGGGGTCCACATGGGAGGAGTTCACCAAGGGCTTGAGATGTTTTAGGTTTGGGCCTTTACCCTTTGTATCATCAGGAGAAAGAACAGGGACCTCCTAAGTCTGATAGGTTGGATCCCCCTGTATTCTTAGAAAACCACAGCCCTCCCTGTCCCCAACTTGTAAGTGACCTTAAGAAGTTACATCCAGCCACAAGAAGTGACTGGAAGAGCAGCCTGGTCCTTCCCTTTTTCATAGAGACCTGACCTGGCAGATTCTCTGGAGCCCTATTCACCCCAGGTAGTGTTATCACCAAAGATGGACCGAGCACACCCTGACTTCAAACTCTCAGGGAATGACTGCCCATCCCCAAGGTCTCTGGTTTGTTGTGAGACATCTGCCTGTGGTCCCTGGAGACATCTCTCCACCCCAGCTTGTCCTGTGGGTCCAGGGGCACTTCCCATGCAGCATGGACAGAAGAACCCAGGATCTGTGGTTACCTTCATCTTAGAGGGGCTGAGGGTCCCACAAACCCTGTACTCCTGTAACAGAAGAACCCCCAGGGTCCCCTGGCTGAGTCTCCACGTGCAGCTGTTCCAGCTTCCAGGCCCTAAGGGGAGGTCCAGAGCAGATGACAGGAAAGGACACAGATGACTTGGATGCAACACTCAATGTTGTAATGAGGGACACACAGAGCATTATGGAGATTAACACTTCAGGCCAAAATCCTCTGTCAACTCTTTCGAAAGCTCTCAGAGGACCCTCTTTGTTTTTGAACTTTGGGACCAGAATCTACTTTTGAAAGAGCCCATTTCCCTAAGGAGAAGGTTCTCCTGGCAATGGACTCAGAACACTCTGCACAGTGTCTGTCTTCTCACTGGGCTCACCTTTCCCTGGGATGGAGTCAGGGGCCCAGGGACCCACAGGGACAGAGCCCTGACTGACTGTTCTCTCAGCCTGGAAGGCAGAGTCCACCTCTCTCCTGTGCTCAGGGTCAACTCCCACCCTCTGGAGCCTGATCAGTATCCCTGGTGCAGCATCTGCATTGGGGGGAAAATCTTCACTCTAATTCCAGAGGTTGACAGTGAGCCTCACAGATAACTCAGGGAACTCATACATAAACCTGGCTTTGACTGAGGGGTAGAGAAGAAACCTTATTTCATTCCCTGCTGAAAAGGCCCTTCTGAGTCTCTCTCTCATGCCTAATCTGTCCTCCCTGTTTCTTCCCAAGACTCTGAACAAAAAAATGAACAAAAAAGGAGCCATGCAATAAATGCGACAAGCTCATTGAACAAAAGTAACCACACAGGATTCTCTGGCCAGAAATTCCTAACTGGGTGGGTGATAATGACAGGTAGCTATATCCCTGGAATAGAGCTTTCTTAGCAAAGGTCAGACCACCTTAAGTGAGCCCTGTCTCTTGTTCTTATGCATCTTTGATGACATACTTCTGACAGGTTAGAGTAGTTTTCTTTGTGAAAACATTGAAAGGCAGAGCTGTGGCACCAGAATAGGAGACCACAGAGCTTCTCGTGTGATCTGGCTTCCTGCGTACTGTCTCTATGTGCTGTGAATGTTAATTACCTTGTTCCCACCATTGTAAAAATAATGTATTCCATCATTTTGCCTTTTACTCAGTTATAGAGAGTTCCCCACTGTGCTTCTTTTACCTCAGTTGATTTCAAGCAACTTTTTTCTTCTCCTTTGATTATAATGTATAATAAGTTGCAAAACTACTGTTCCTCACAAGATTTCAGAACTTGCTCTCACACATATGATGTCAGTGTCTCAGATACATGTACAATAATGCTTCATAGGTTTGGACATTTTCTTACTTTGACAGGGTCCAGGAGCACCTCCACTCTCATGGGTTGCTGTGCTGCTCCCTATGCCGTGCCTGACACCATCCACAGGCTCAGCAGAGTAAGCACAAGGAAGCCTCCCAGGCAGAAACCACACCTTGTCCCAACAACCAGCGAGCACAAGGACGGGCCTGACGAACACACATGGAGGGGAAAGGTCTCCTGAGAGTGTTCCCTGGGAACAAGGATGCCCACAGGCACCTTTCAGCACAGTCCCTTCTTCCTGGGACATGCAGGACACCTCCAGCTGCAGGTCCTACTGAGACTTATGTTTTTTTGTCTTTGTCTCTGGAAGCAAAGGCCAGTCTGTTGAAAACCTGAGATAGAAGAAGGGTCCCCTTGCAATTATCACCCAGCTTTACCACTTCCACCTCCAGAGTTTTCTCTTTGACCCTCCTGCTGGGAGGAAATACAACCTTCTCAGAGCAACTGAGAAGAACATGGGGAAGACCTGGTTCTCAGCTGGGCTTCTGTGTCACAAACAGAAATATCACCCAGGTTTGGGGACTCCTGGGGCTCTCCGTGTGGTGCTGACAGACACAAGACCAGAGACAGTGCAGGCCAGTGCCAGGGTGAGTGGGTCATCCTCTCAGGGGAAACAAGTGTCCCCAGCAGACTTGCTATTGCAAGTGAGATCCACAAACCAATAAAGTGAACCTCTGCTGAGAGTTTGTCAGATACAGAGTCTCATCTTCTGTACACCTGTCAAGTCAGGATCTGCTCTCTGTCAGCATCTAGAGACCCTCCATATCCAATTGTGAGGGGTCGAGGGGGCATTGCCAGATTTAAATTGTAGGACCTCATTATTGACAGACATACAGTTTGATGGGCAGCTTCTGTAAAGGCATTTTGAAATGTGACCTGGGCATCACAATCTTCACAAAGTTTCACAGCAGATCTGATGCACAGAGGGCGTGATAAAATCTCTGTGGCAAGTTTTCCTGAGGTCTGTCCAGGACTCTCACTCTGAAGGTAAGTGAGAAACTTAAAAAGGGGGGGGTATGGAGAGGCTACTGTGTACCTGTCAGAGGTAACACAGATTGTGAGTGTGTGAGTGGTGTGTTCACAGCCTTTAGCCATTTCCATAGAAGAGAAATGTATGCAAAAGGTAAACAAAAATGAAGGCACAGCTGTAGCATAAATAAGGGAAGGAGAGAAAGAGTCCTGGGAACAGGCCCCGCCCCTGCTCATTATAACCAGGGAAGTAATCTTGCCCCAAGAAAAGGCTTAGCACACAGGCACAAGGGACAGCAGATACCGCCAGTGGATCCAGAAGTGCCTGTGAGCCTCGCTAGAACTCCAGCCGTTCTTGCAGAGGAACGAACAGAGGAGTCAGAGGACACCATGGACTCCCCCTCAGCTGCCACTTGCAGAAAATTTGTGCTCTGGCATGGACTACTGCTGACTGGTAAAAAGGGGACAATTCCTGGGGGTGGATTGGAGGATGGGAGACCAAAAGTTGTTGCAATCTCTTGTGGAACACAGTGCTCAGAGGTTCGAGAAGGCTTCTGTAGGAGCTCAGGGGAGAGGGCAAAAGAGAGGATTGGGATGAAGAAGGGGGTACAGCAGCAGGAAAATCTCATGACCTGGAAGCAGTGAAAAACAGGAAAGTCTCAATGGCTGTTCATGTCCTAAGTTATTCATCACTGAGTATGGAATTTTCAAAACTGGTGATAATAATAATAATAATTTATATGAGGCAACAGCAGAAAATTTAATCAAGAGCGCTGAGCATTGACCTTAGCACCAACCTCAGAAATGAGTGGGCACAACACAGCAAAGGAAGGACACAGGGAACAGTCGTCCATTCACTCACAGGTGTTGGCAGCTTACAGCAAGCACTTGAGACTCAGTAAGATCAGACAGGCCCACACGCTCATGGAGCTCAGGTTCTAGGAAGAGGAGAGGGGCAGGCAAAGACGTGGATGTGATGTCAGGTCCCCACTAGTGTCACGAGAACAACAGAGCATGGAGAAGCCTTCATAAACGTTGGTAAAAGGAGGTGTCTGCCAAGGACTCCCTGCATGTCAGCAAAAGCCCGAGGGCAGGGGGGGGGGGGGGGGAACCAAGAGACAGCTGGACAAGAGTATTGGACACAGAAAAACAAATAACAAGTTTAGAGCTTCTGAAATAAAGAGACCATGCTGCTGACCTGGACAACAAGAGACACGCACACAGGCTCACGCTGACACTCACACCCAGACCAAAGCTGAGAGGTGAAATGACTCGATCAGGATTTAGAGCTTCACCCTGTAATCCCAGTACATACATGCAAATATTGATCCCTTTTTTTCTTTTCTCCTAGTTTCACTTGTAACCTTCTGGAGCTCGCCCACCTCTGCCCAACTCGCTATTGTGTCAACCACTGCTGCAGAAGGGGCAGATGTGCTTCTGCGCATGCGCAATAAGCCTCCCAATGTGAAAGCCTTGGTCTGGTACAAAGGAGAAGGGGCGAACCCAAATCGTTACATCGTGTCTTTTGCAATGGACAAACAATTACTGGGAAGGGGGCCTGAATTTAGTGGTCGAGAATCAGTAGATGGTGAAGGATCCATGCTGATTAAGAAAGTCACCTTGAAGCACTCAGGATACTACACTGTGGTCATCCATCTTCAAAATCGCATAAAAGAAATAGGATTCGGACGCCTCCGTGTGTATGGTGAGTGATTCCTCTCTGACCTCTGGGTGTTGGGGGGTTGGGGTGGGTTCTACTTCACACACAGGACTGACAGCCCTGGACTCTGCCTCCATCCCCCTCTGCATCCCCCTCCCTGGTGAAGTTTTTTCATTTAACACGATACACATAGTGGAGATAAACTTCCCAAGATTTCCATCTTTTTCCCAGATTTCAGCGTGATGGTATTCAGTGAGGACAGAAAGACCATTTTGATGAGAGTATCTCAATGGTGGGGAGGGGAGACCAGTCTCAGTTTGGCCCCTTAAAGCCCTTTCTCTGACCCTGAGCCGGACCTTGACTCTGAGAATGACCCTACAGGGCTCCATAATAGCCTGGCCTGAGGAGCTCCCTGGAATTCTCACAGCAGCTCAATACAATCAGCCACTGTCCAGACCCCTGTTCCAGAGCTTCTGGCTCCAGAGAGCCTGGGGAGCCTGTGTCAGGTTGAGATCAGCTTCCTTAAAGGAGCTGATTGGGAACAACAATTCCCAGGGTGCCAGAGCACAGGTTTCCTAAGCTGGTCATCAGCCAGGGCTCAGCCCCTAAGGCCACATTTGTACAGGGATAGCACCGTGGGCAGGGAGCACCCATGGACAAGGATCCTGCATCATTAACCAACTCTTCTGGGGGACTTACGGGGGTCCATAGGAAGGTCAGCATCTTCAGGGAGAAAATGAGGAGAAAAGATGCTCCTGGCAGCTCTGTGTCCACCAGGGATGAGCTGAGGGAATCATCTCTGAGATTCAGTCAATAGCAGATGCCTCTTGTTTGAGCAGTTCCCCTATCCCAAGGTTTAAGGTCAGATACTGTGTATATTATATGTTGAATACACTGACACCTGGCAGTCAAATATTCAAAAGAAACATAGGTACAGGGAGGAGATATAGTCTCTAAATCAGAGTCACAAGGACCAGGAGAAGCTCATCAGGGTCACCCAAGGTCTGTCTGCAGCCACAGCCCCACCCCTTCCTCCACCTGGGTATTTTCTTAAGGTCTGTGGTTTCCTAGGCCAGTCACTGGTTGAGATGCTTTCTTCTTAAGCTTCCTCAGCTCAGAGAGATAGATTTTGGGCTGGGGAATGATAATAAATGCATAATTAATATTTACTCTAGAACCAAATTACCTGCAGGAATTTTCAGAATTAGTGCTGGGAATACCCAGGCATTTGCCTCAGTTGGTCAGGCCACACCTTCCTGTACTAAACTTAAAATCACTAATCTTTTTCCTGATGTGTTTGTGTCATTTTTATTTGATAAAGACAAAACTTTGCCTTATCACTCCACTCCCTTCTCTTATAATTAGTACAGAGACCAACATCAGTCAAAAAACAGTTGCTTATGATAAATTAGGAGGAAATAAATGTTGATTGAAACAATGTATGAACAAATGATCAAAAAACTTCTTCCAAGACTGAAAGGTTCATGCAGAGTTTTGGGAATCTTAGAGGCACATGACACACAGGCTCACTGTCCTTTCAGAAGGTAAAACAAAGGAAGAAATATTCCTCTTGCAGTTGGCCTTAGGCTCCAGGGTATTGATAATAATTTTCACATGTGAAGACACTTTTAAATTCTTTCCAATTTTTTATCTCATAACCACCAATCATGAATAGTTTACAAGAATATGAATTTCATCAAGTCTGTGCTCCTGTCTTGCCCTCCATCACCCCTTCTGCATTTGCACAAGTCCTCACCTGCCCTCAGGAGAGAGAGAAGTATTTTACTGGCCTAGCACATGGTTCTGCTGCCACAGTCAGCTCACACCCTGCCCCTTGATTTGTTTTTCAAGCTCATTTATTGGCTCTATCATTTGTTAGCTCACTGACTCATGTCACCCACACTCACCTAGGAAGACCAACCTCTTTGCCCAGGTGCCTGAATACCCAACTGACCGCCAGCCTGCTTGTGGTCCATATGTATGTGTTACTTCTGCCTAACCTCATCAATAGAATGTTTAGAGAAATGGTGCCTCATAGAAACACACCTCATCTGGGTGGTGGAGGGCTGTGCAGGCTGAGGAAGTGACCCCTGGCCAGCCAGCCAGTCAGCTGATGAGTGAAAAATAAGAAGAGTGCAGTAATGTCTGCCTGCAAGGCTTATGCCTTTCCTTCATCCAACCCTGATAATTAACAAATTTTCAGAAAGTCTGCACTTTCCCCTAGACACAGAGCTGAAGGTCGTACATTCTCTGAGCACACAGATCTCCATGCATTTGTCCTGTGGTACACAGACCTGCCTTATTCTTTTAAGGACTCGAGTTGGCTGAAAGGTGAGAGGTTCTCACTCTGACCTATGAAGCCTTTTGAAGAATCAAAGGTACCACATATGGCAATGTTCTGTTACCTGCACAGCTCAATTACCTCACTTAACATTACCAACAGCATGGCCTTCAGAGATGTAATTTGCGTTTTCCAAATGATAGTGATGTTGAGCATCTTTTCCTATGCTTATAGGCCACTTCTATGTCTTCTCTGGAGAAATGTCTATTCAAGTGCTTTGCCCATTTTTTAACCAGTTTATTTGGTTTTTATTTTTGAGTTGTGGGTGTTCTTTGCATATTTTGAATGTTAACTTCTCATCTTACATATGATTTGCACAGTATTTTCTATGTTCCACAGGTCACCTTTCACTCTGTTGATTTTGTCCTCTGACGAAAGGGCAAAAGTTTCTCATTTTGACAAAAACGAGTGTATCTAATTGTTCCTTTTTGCCTGTGTTCTTAGTGTCATCTGCAAGAAACCATCGCCAAATCCAATGTTATAATGCTCCCCCCTATATTTTCTCCTAAGAGTTTTGTAGTTCTAGTTCTTAGCTTTAGGATTTAATTCATTTGGCTTTTTTCCTGAAAATGACTTCATTTGTCTTTTGATAAATATAAGTTTTTTGCCAGTGTCATGTTTTTGAGTTACTTGTGCTCCATAGTAAGCTTTGAAATGAGGAATTGTGAGACCTCCAGGTTTATTCTTTTTTTTTTGTAACATCATTGCAACCATGTGGGGGATCCATTGAAAATCTACATAAATTCTAGAATGAATTATTGAATTTATGCACAAGTGACATTGGGTTTTTATGGTAATTTTACCAAGTATGTAGAATGGTGTGGGTCTTCCAATTCCATACATCTGGATGTTTTTCTATTGATTGCTTTTTGTTTCCTTTCAGAAACATTTAGAAAATTTTACCTAATACTAGGTTATAGGACATGTGAGCTAGGAAGGGGTTTCAAGTGCTGGTACTAAAGCAATGCCTGAAGGAACAAGTGAGGGGTCATCTGAGGGTGGTCTGGGGTCAGAAGGAAGTGACTATCTTTTCTCCTCTTACACACTATCCCCTGAATAAAGACTGCTGTGCCACCACAGAGGTCAAAAACATCCTTTGTTGAACTTAACAGAGCTCACTGTAGACAGAGAGAGGCTGAGATCCTAGAGAAGACAGCATAACTCCATGTGTCATGTTCATTCTCCATCAGTCACATCCTCTATTTCCCCACAGAGCCTGTGATAATGGCCAACCTTGTAGCCAGCAACACCACAGTCACTGAGAATAAGGATGCTGTGGTCTTGACCTGCTACACAAAGGGACTCTCCATACAGTGGATCTTCAATGGCATGAATCTGCGACTTACAGAGACGATGAAGCTGTCCTGGCAAAACAGAACCCTTACCATAAACCCTGTCAGAAGAGAGGATGCTGGAAATTATCAGTGTGAGGCCTCGAACCCCATCACTTTTGCTTATAGTGTGCCCCTGCAGCTGAATGTAAAATATGACTAACTCTCCTCTTTCTTTCTATGTTTTTATACTCTTAATAAAATATTCTTCATCATTTAAATACATTTCTTGTGAAGGTGGAGAGTTTCTGGAAGACTTGCATTAAGTCAATAAATGCTGAAAAATGTGAACTGATGTTGTCGTTATTATTGAGTCAAGGTCACATTCCACACTAGATTCTAACTCTGGTTTTATTTACTTATTGGTTGATTGAAAGTATTGCATTTTTGTTCAAGTAGAGTTGTCTGCCTTTACCCCCCACCACTCCCCTCCAACCCTGGCCATCCCCACCTCCTTCCCCTCATTACACACCCTGCCTTGGTTTTGTCCTTGTGTAATTTATAGTAGTTCCTGAAAACCCTTCCTCCTCCCCCCCCCCCATTATCTGGTTACTGTCAGATTGTTCCTAGTTTCAGTAATTTGGGTTATATTTTGCTTGCTTGTTTGTTTTGTTGATTAGGTTCCACTTAAAGTCTAGACCCCATGGTATTTCTCTCTATGCCTGACCTACTTTACTTAGCATAATGCTCTCCAGTTCCATCCATGCTATCACAAAGAGCAGGAGCTCCTTCTTTATTTCTGCTGCATAGTATTCCATGGTGTAAATGTACTGTAGTTTTTTGGTCCATTCATTTACTCATGGGCATTTAGGTTGCTTTTAGCCCTTGGCCATTGTAAATTGTGCTGGTATGAACATTGGGGTGCATAGGTTCTTATGAATTGGTGTTTCAGTGTTCTTAGGGTATAATCCCAGCAATGGAATTGCTGGGTCAAAAGGTAGTTCCATTTTCAGTTTTCTGAGGAAATTCCATAGGATTTTTCACAGTGGCTGTGCCAGTCTGTATTCCCACCAACAGTGCACTAAGGTTCCCTTTTCTCCACATCCTCTCTAACTCTTGTTGTTTGTTGACTTGTTTATGATGGCCATTCTCACAGGTATGAAGTGGTATCTCATTGTGGTTTTAATTTGCATCTCTCTGATGGCTAATGATGCTGAAAGAAGAGTCTTATCTCTTATCCACCCTTTCTGGTTGGTTTTAGTTGTACCAACACCACAAGTGAGATGACACTGAGTACTTTACAGAATGATCATTGGCTGAATGATTACCAGTGGGAACCCTTGGTGAGCTCACAGGAATGCAATCTCTGTCCCTCCTTCACAGGGATGGGTGGAGGGCACCTGGACACTGTGTGGACAATAGGAATAGACAGGAGGACACCCCAGTGGGTGGCAACAGTGAATTTTTTCTTTCTGTTTTATTTCTGAAAAATAATTTCTAAAGTGTTTTTAATATTCTTATTTCTCATGGCAAGAAATCTTTTTGCATACACTCAGTAGGACACTATTCTCTTTGTTAGTAGGGTATAATTGGAAACATTGGTAATACACCAAGGCCTTGGGTCAAATGTCATTATTCACATTGATGGTCACAGAACAGAAATGACCTCACCCTTTATAAAGCTAAGTTGGATCTAATGGGTGTTTTGGTATCTCTTGGAAATGAGGGCATCACCCAAATGTGGAGAGACTGCAGGTGAAGTATGAGGGTGAGGCTTTCTAACCTCAAGAGGCTGTTACAACTTTCATCTCAGATTTCACAGGAAAACATTAATCAGAGCCAATCTTGTGGTGAATGTCAGCTCCTCTGCACTTAGGTAACCAGTCAGGCTAAATCAGGTGGTGGCAGCCATGTTTGTGATCAAGAAGACTCTTCTTCTTTGGTGATGAAGTTTGATCCAAAGGAAGGTGACTGTGCAGAAAAATGTAATCGAACCATAAAAACTCCAGAAGCACAGCCTTCTGGGAAGTCAAATTTCAATTCTGTTCACGGACCATCAGCTATGTTGAATTGTTTATCAATTGTGGAAACTGATGTAGATGCAAAATGGATCTTGGCTGAAGGAGATTAGTTGCTTTTCCCTCCACTGGGTAGAAAGCAGTTTTGTTATGACCTAAATGTTAACTCAGAGGTAACTCAGGCCTCTGACTTTCACAATTTTAGAGAATTTCCTTTGGAAAGGTAATCACAATTTGTAAGTAATAATTATTTCTCTGCCTTATTAAAATATGCATATCTCCTTAAAAGCTTCTTGCTAGTGTCATTACAAAAATAATATGTTCAAGAGCCCAAGCCACCCTTTTTAAAATTTAATCCTTGTGATGTTCCTGTGTTCTAGTCACTGAGGGAGGGTAGGGCCTCACTTGGGTGGAGACCTTTACAACCAAGATGTGAAAGGACCACCTGTAACAATTCCGTAAGAGTTTTACTTTCATTTGTGCAAAGCCAGTTATCATACACAAGTCCCCATTATACCTTTTTGAGGTTATCAAAATCTCCCTAGCTTTTTGTTTCTGGCTTGTTGAGTTCAGTTCCATTACCCTCCTGTAAGGTCTTGAATACAATCTTTTTTGCCTTTTTCATTTTATCTGATGTATGTTTTACTTTGACATCATCTACCTGGAATTGGCTGATCCTGTCATCTTGCTTACAGTTTCACTTTTTACCATATTTTCACACCTTCTAATTTTTCAAAATCTGGCTATAATCTTCCAAATAAGAATTTTTAAGTTTCTGTCCTTGCTTCTGACTTGGCATCCACAGAAAAAGATTAGCTGACTGCCCAGATTATTCTGGGGTCCCAGGTTTTCTCTAAGCAGCCTTTGTCCCAGAATCTGAGAACTCATCCAGGCCTGAAAGAGGACCCCTCTGTGGCTAACTGTCAGCTGTATTCTCATCCCACATACACTTTCAGTGCACCTTCAAGGAACAAGGTCGTGGAGATTTTTAATGATATTCTGTCATAAAACTCAACAACTCTAGTCAACATCCAGGTCCCTGTCACATAAGCACGGTCAGGTCAATGTTAGACACCCTTTTCTGGTTTCCTTGTTACTTGAAGCTCAGGCCAGACATCAGTGTCCTGACATTTTGTTGTCTTCTTATTTCTACCAACTCTTTGTGCCTATCCTTGGAGAGTTCACAATCAGAGTCTGTGAAATGGGAAATAAAACTCTCCTCTGGGAGACTTCCGCCAAGATGGAGGCATATGTGGAGACACCATGCCTTCTCACACAACCAAGTTTAGAAACAATAAAATATTAGCAACACAAAACACAGCCAGAACACAGAAAATTGAACTTTTTGGAAGTCTGATAACAACAAATGCTTCAGCCAGACTGATGCAAACAGATCAAAAATGGCTCAAGAAGATCTCAAAGCCCCAGAGTCCATAACTCTAAGAAAACAAGAAATTGCCAACCTATCAGATGCACAGTTCAAAACACTGGTGATCAGGATGCTCACAGAACTGGCTGATTTTAGTCACAAATTAGAGTAACATATGAAGGCTAAACTAATTGACATGAAGGGAATTGAAAAGGAAACCAATAGTGATGAAAAGGAAACTGGGACTCAAATCAAGGGAGTAAACCAGAAGGAAAGAAAAAAATGACCAAACAGGAAAATATGAAGAAACAAGAATTCAAAAAATGAGGAGAGAGTTAGGAGGCTCCAGGACATCTTTAAATGTTCCAACATCTGAATTTTAGGGGTACCAGAAGGGGGTAAAGAACAGCCACCAGTGGAAAACTTATTTGAACAAATAATTAAGGAGAATTTCCCCAATCTGGCAAAGGAAATAGACTTCCAGGAAATCCAGGAAGCTCAGAGAGTCCCAAAGAAGTTGGACCCAAGAAGAAACACACCAAGGCACATCATCATTACATTAGCCAAAATTAAAATGAAGGACAGAATCCCAGAAGCAGCAAGAGATAAGGGGAGAGTCACCTACAAAGGAGTCCCCATCAGACTGTCAGCAGATTTCTCAAAAGAGATCTTGCAGGCAAGAAGGGGCTGGAAAGAGGTATTCCAAGTCATGAAATCCAAAGACCTACAGCCAAGATTACTCTATCCAGCAAAACTTTCATTTAGAATGGAAGGACAGATAAAGTGCTTCTCAGATAAGATCAAATTCAAGGAGTTCATCATCACCAAACCCTTATTATATGAAATGTTAAAGGAACTTATCTGATAAAAAAAGGTGAACAGTGAAAAAACAGCAAACTCACAGTTATTAACAACACACCTAAAACAAAAGCAAACTAAAAGGACAGCTAGATCAGGAGTGGAAACATAGAAATGAAGATCTCATGGAGGGTTAGCAACAGGGGAGCGGGCGGAGGAGAAGGGGGAGAAGGTACAGAAAATAAGTAGCATAGATGGTAGATAGAAAATAGATGGGGGGAGGGTAAGAATAGTATGGGAAATACAGAATCTAAAGAACTTGAGACGCATGGTCATAAACTAAATGGGGGAATGGTGGAGGTGGGGAGGTGCAGGATGGAGGGTGGAGAGGATTGAAGGGGGGAATAGAACAACTGTAATGGCATAATCAATAAAATAATTTTTTTAAATCTCCTCTGGGTCTGCTTCTTTTTCCTACTACTTGCTGTATCTGAGGTGTTTGGTTAATATATTGGGTTGGCCAAAATTCTATTAGTTTTTTTCCAAAATATTGTTTTTTTTCTCCAGAAGGGGGTTCTAGTAGAACTGAAACAAATTAGTCAGATTGCATTGTGACAGCTATCATACCAATGTGCACTTAAAAAATTGGTCAGTATGGTCAATTTCTGTGTAGCCATTCTAATATTGAAGATGGAAAATGTATGCAACATCTTTAGTATACCATGCTTTATTGTTTCAAGAAGGTAAAAATGCAGCTGAAACACAAATAAAGGTTTGTGCAGTGTGTGGCAAAGGTGCTATGAATAACTGAATGTGTCAAAATGTGGCTTCCAAAGTTTTATGCTAGAGAGTTCTTGCCAGATCATGCTCCATGGTCAGATAGCCTGGTTGAAATTGAGAGCAATCAAACAGAGACATTAATTGAGAACAATCAACATTCTACCAAGTGGTAGATAGCTGACATACACAAAATATACTAATAAAAAAAGTCATTTTTGAAAATGAAGAAAATATGTCTTTTAT